AATTTTTCAGAAATGTTGCCAAATCAGTTAATTTTTAGTCTCCTCAGCAGGAGGCTTTAGTTTCGTGAACTAATTCTGTTTTAAGAATACTTTTTTTTTTTTTCCTTATCCAGTTATAGGGCTGTTATCTTGACTTTATTCAGAACTGAGTTATTTCAGAAGTTAGATTAGAAAAAAAGGTATTTAATTCCTTATTTCTGATTTCTTTTTTTAAACTGAACAAGTAAGTAGCACGTCCATATTCACACTGCTCATGTGTTTTTTAACACATACAAAACCAACCAACTTATTTCAGATTTGTCTGGATGGCAGTCTCGTTTTCATATTAGCTTGATTTTACTTTTTAAAATAAAACCACTTTCATTGTAAGATACAATTCTAGTATAATGATATTGTAACTTTGATAAGAGGAAAGTTATGATAATCGTTTGCTAATTTCCTTGGCTAGAAGAAAGAAAACATCAAAATATCCCTAGTTTTACAAGTCCCCAAGGAGCGTGTGCATATACATGTGGCTGTTGAAATGCAAGAGACTCTGGCGCAGCAGAAATTAAAATGTGAGAGGTAAGACATGAAAAGGTGGGAATCAGATAAACTGCCGCTTATCACCTCGTGTTTCTTGTGCTTCAGGAACAGAACATGCACAACTGGTCAAGTATTTGTTTGACATTGTCATAGTAATAAAACACTGACACCGCCAACGCTCCCAGGTCCGTAAAGACTCTGCAAGAAGCTCGCTTGCGATTATGAAGTTGCCTTTTATAGGGTTGAGAACTGTTTTGCATCGTTGGCAAAGGGCTTTTGGATGAAATCTAAGGCATTACCAGCAAAGGGTGAGGTATTGTTAAAAACTTGCTCTTAATCCTTTCTTCTAGGCTATTCTCATCAGATTCTTTGGAAAGACTCCTGTAGTAACCTTAATTTTCATAAACTGGTATTCAAGGCTATCATCTGGACTAAAGGGATCGTGCTATTCCATAGCCTTAGAATGGTAATTTCAGTGTTGTCCTAGTGCTGCAGAAACCATATTGATTCGTAGTAAGATCCATGGACATTCAACTGGATTTCTGCAAATGTTGTTTTCTTGCCTCTTATTTGTTATGCTTAGATCAGGAACGCTATACAGAAATTCCATTTTTCAGTCTTAGAGCTATGCCAGTTTATTTGTCTCTTGAGGTTGAATGTGTAGTGTGCAAAAACCCGTTTGTCAGCTTTCTTAAGCGTTTTGCCGGTGTTCTCAAGAGGAAGCTGGAAAGTAGCGTTGTGGTGACGTAACTTGCTGTGCACCGAGAACAGCCCCAACACCTTGACTTTTACAGTAACCCTCACCCCAGAGACTTTGCTACCGGGAAGCACCAGCTGAGACATCTCTCCTTTGAGGTTATCCCCTGGGCCCGTCTCCTAGAGCCACCGAGGGAATCGCTGCTTCTCTGCAGTATTTTTGATAGGGCTGCGTAGGAGGGGTGGAGAAGACTGGGGTGCCCCGCGGGGGCCGAGAAGCAGTTAGAAATACTAAAGCAGTAGTTTTTGTGACACCCGGTACCTTTATGCTACTGCCAGAAGCGTGTTTTACGTCTCGCTGTCAATAAAATCTGCTCGGCGGCCAGGGCTATTTTTATCCCTGTCTTAGCAAGCAAAAACCACAGCGACAGAACCGGCGGCCGGCCGGCCTCAACTGAGCGTTGTGCTGGGTTTGCCCCTGCTCCCGCTCGTCCTGCCGGGCCGGAGGAGCCGCGCCGTACGTACGTTCCCGTGAAACCCTCGGC